GAATGTACCTCACTTGGGCACTCTACTGGTCCTTCATATCAGCTAATCTGCAAATTAGCATCCTTTGATGGTGGTCAAAACTATCAGGCTGGGCTGGGGTTGTGGCTCAGTGGTAGAGCGCTTGCCTACCACACATAAGGCACTGCGTTCAATCCCCAGCACTACATAAAAAAACTAAACAAACACAATAAAGGTATTGTGTCCAACCACAACTAAAAATGTTAAAAACACAAAAGTAACAGGCTGTATGTTGGAAGCTGTCTAGCAAGCTGTGATAATTTCTAGTGGGGGCCCCGTAGTTCTAATGATCCCTTTGAATTACAATTCTTTGTGATTGGATGTATGTAACTGGAACATACATATTCAGGATTGTTATTTTCCTGATAAATTTTTCTTTTGTTATTACGTAATGATCCCTTTTATCCTAAAAATGTGCTTATGTTAAAGACAATCATGTTTTATTTTAACATAGCTAAACTAGCTTGCTTTTGTTAAGTATATTTCATGGTAATCAGTCTTCCCTGTGTTCTGGCTTTATTAAAGGTCACACTTAAAAGAGTACCTAGCCTTAAATTAGCCCAGTACTATGTTTAGGTGTAAATTTAAAAATGAGCCCCCTACCCATTTGGGCATTGTCTTGGTTCTGTTTCTCAAGATTTACTGTTCTGCTTCTTAAATGTCTCTTTCATTTCTTCTTACCATGAGGACTTCTTCTTTGTTTCATGTTCATCTACTTGGTAATTTTTGTTTCCTAATTTATTCAGGATTTCTTTGTTTTTAGCAGTGAAGGGTATGTTTTGGGGCAGGAGCCTGGGACTTAGTAATGACAGTCTCTGCTTTCCATGCAGTTGTGCTATATTGTTTGGGATGGGAATTTTCTGTCTCATACCCCACCCCTGCACCTCTACCCACCCACCCACCATGGCTATTGAACCTAGGAGAGCTCTACCATGAGCTCTATCACCAACCCTATTCATTTTTTTTTTGGAGACAATGTCTCCAAAACAGCAGGGTCTTTTTGCTAATGTGTCCAGGCTGGCCTTAAACTTGTAATCCTCCTGCCACAGCCTCCTGAGTTGCTGGAATTACAGCTGTGCACCACCACGCCCAGCTTCTCACACTTTAAATCAGAGATTCAATCTTTCATATTCAGTGAAATCATCTGGAAAGCTTTAAAAAGTATCGCTGCTTGGTCCACTGCCAGAAATTCATTTAATTGGCCTGGAATAAAGCCATGGCACTGAAGCTTTTAAAAACTCCCATGGTAATTCTAACATGCAGCCACGGTAGAGAACTACTACTTAGACTTTAGCAGTGAGCAGTCTGAAATATACAGAGACTTACACAGAGATGGATATTTTTAGTAGGTTTTGCTACTTCTCATATGTTTAAGGTCCAGTTGTTACTGTAGGTGGATTTGTGTGTTAGCCTGCTGAATCAGGTCACATAATTTTCTTCCATTTCTATTGTGTTTTCCCCTGACCCTTTAGCTTTAGAGATTTTTATTAGGATAAACATATCTCTAAATTAGACTTTTCTTTCTGTGTCTACCAACCCAGATATTTTTCCCATTAAGAAGATTAGCTCTAACAGAAATGTTGGATATTTTAAGATGCTTAAATGTGGTATATTTCCAGCTCTGGTTTTGATTCATTGCTTCTCTTGACCTCTTTTCAATTTTTCCATAAACTGTGCCTATTGATGAGTAATAAAAATGTTATGAGTACAAACTTGTATTCTGTACTTATGAGAAGGCCAAGCATTCTTTGATATTCTTTTTAATTTTAGGAGGAATGTGTAACTTTTGGGCAGTGGTGACATGTGAGAAATGACAGTAAGCAGTGAAAAACAAAACTCACTATTCTTGCTAAATAATAGTAGGTGGATGAATCAACTGATGGGGCTGCTGAGTTGTTTAATAATTGTTTATGACAAAGTGAAAAAAGTTCTTTAATCTGAGGCCTTAGATTGGTTTTCAGATACATAGTTACAGATCTTTTTCCTTGAAAGGTCCATTGTCCTGTTGTGTGTGAGGACAGACTGTGGTGTATTTGATTATTCACTGGGTCATGATTTTCCTCTGCTTTTACTCCTGGAGACTGTTCTGCAGATTGCACTTTGGGTTCAAAAGAGAAACATAATTGATTATCAGGAAAAATAAAAAGTGCAGGCTCTACTGAAAATCGTATTGATATGTTTTCATTTATGAAAGACAGAAACTTAAAAAACATTTGTATAGGTAATCCCTATACATGGCTTAAAGCATTCCAACAACACAAGATGGTGTATGGTAAAAAGTTTCATCTGTGCTGACTTATGTTGATACCATATACCTTGAGGTGATGTGATTAAAAATGACACTCATGAGTTTCCTTTCAAACCCAACACCAGTCTAACAATGAGAAAAATGTCATATAAATTCTTTAGAAGAATGTTTGACAAAGCACTTGACTAATGCTTCTCAGAACTGCCAAGAACATCAAAAACAAGGAAAGGATAAAACACAGGTATTCATTCGTTATACATAGTATTTCATGGTATGAATGAGATGTGCCACAGCTTAATTGGTTTCTTTCTGATGCAGTGGTTAGGTTTCTCACATTCTTTGACTGAAGTGTATTAGTTTATAACTCTAACATCTGGAACGAAGTATGAGGTCAAGGATAGGGGTTGGAGTATCAGGGAGGGTACAATCTAGGTTTTTTTTTTTTTTATGTTGTTGTTGTTTAGTTGAAATTTTTATTTACTTTGTTGATAATCCACTTCTTTACAGAAGAGGATTTGGAGTCAGGTAGTGTCCTGCATAGTTTAGTTGATGGGTATCTGGGACATGCTAAATAAGATATAGGTCCAGATGTAATTCAGGATAAAATGGGGAGGCAGACCTGGAAATACAATCATACAGTAATACACTGTGGTAACATTGTAATACAATCTGCTATAAAAACACATGAGGGAGTGGCTAATCTCTACTCCCCCCCACCCCCCACAGCTTTTGATGAGCTCAGAAAAGGGAGTTGGAAGTTAGTGGTTGACTCAGTTGAATGGCTTTTGTCACTAAGGGAAGGGAATGTCCTGAATTCTTTCCTATTTGTAGTATCTAAAGTCAGGAGACTCTGGGTTCATGGAGCAAAAGCAAGTCAGCTTCTTCCACTCTATTGAATCAGCTTCTGGGAAAACACTCGTAACGTGCTTGGGTTTCTGAGCAATATACAACACTCAAGATCACAATTTCCTTATGCTTCAGTATATATCAAGGAAACGCATTATATGCTGTGGTATGATGCTGCTGCAAACAGTTGTGAAACTGTTTGCCAGCAAATGGTTATGTTTAAAGATGGAGGAAAAAGGGACATGGACAGGAAGGAATGACGTGTGTTTCTCTGACTCGTTTTCCTGATAGATAAAGCTTTCCTCCACGAGCTGGCCTTGCTTTTTTTTCTTATCTAGCCTTAAGTACTGCCTTTCTTTTTATTTTTTTTAATATATATATTTATTTTAGTTGTAAATGGACTTTTATTTATATGCGGTACTGAGACTCAAACCCTGGGCCTCACACATGCTAGGCAAGTGCTCTCACTGAGCCACAATCCCAGCCCCTAAGGTACTGCCTTTCTTTTGTTTATTTAATTATATTTGTTTTAATTGCAAAATGACTATATGAGTACATTCTTAGAAGATATTTGAACACTGTTCCCCTTGACTTTAGCCCCACTCATCACCATGGAAACCATTAAAGGATGTGTGTGTGTGTGTGTGGGTGTGTGTGTGTGTGTGTTGTGTTTGTGTGTAAATGTAAGTAAAATAGTCATAAAATGCACTCTTATTTGACTTGTTCATTTAAAATGTGTTAGAAGGCATTTCATTTCACAATCTGTTGATGGACATTCTGTTTCATGGATGTAGCAGAATTAATTTAACCTTTCCACTATAGCTGGTTGTCTAGGTCATTGCCTTATTTGTTGTTATTATGCTAGTTATTACAAACAGTGCTGCAGAGGAATCTCTGTATGTGTGTGTGTGTGTGTATACACACACACACATATATGTATATATATAAATTTTTTTTTTAATTGTAGATGGACATAATACCTTTATTTTATTTATTTTTTTGTGTTGCTGAGGATTGAACCCAGTGTGTCACGTGCTAGGTGAGCACTCTACCACTGAGCCACAACCCCAGCCCCCACTGTGAGGCTTTTTCTAGGCTATCAAGAAATGGATTTGCTGTTCTTAGGACTTAGAGGTTTTTAGTATACCAAAGAAAACATTTTGTAGACTTAAATGGATAGTATAATATCATTTATACTGGGGGAAATGTCCAGGTAAGCCATAGGTAATATATTTGTTAATTGGACTAATAACATTTAACAACTTTGGAGAGAATACTAGACTTGAGAATGATGGTCAAAGGACTTTGATCTTCTTAGTGATGTTTAAAAAAATTTTTTTTGTAACAAGAATATATTCCTGTATTACTTGAGTTGTTATAAATATCAATAAAAGTATAGTTGGATTGGAATAATTTATATCTGTCTTTATGCTATAAGCTCAGAATAGTCTCTACTTTCAAGTGCATATTGATTATTTTAACAAAATTGATCAGTTAGGAGTTGGTGGGTGGGTATTTGAGGTTCCAGAGAGAGAATGATCTAGTATTTGTAAAAAGTCTTTAGTAGAAAAGTTAGTATTAGGTGAGGGGAGATATGCAGGTCATGTTCTTTGGCCACTGTGATCTCAGTCGAGAATATTTAGTCACCTTAAGTTTTTTCTAGATATTATAAGAAGAACCTATACCTTATTGTGGTTTTCTGTTCAATGTTTAGATTCTGGTAAAGTGACTAAAATTTTAAAAAGCTTATTGTTGGCCTTAATACCCTTTAATACAAAATAAAGCATTTAAATATTGCTTGTGTTGTGTAAATACAGTAAACAATTGCTTAAAGTATATTACTCCAAAGAATATATGTTTTTTGAGATGTGACTTTTTTTCCTTAAAGAGATGTGAAAGCTGGAAATATTCTTCTTGGAGAAGATGGCTCAGTACAGATTGCAGGTAAGGATTAGTGTTCCTTTTTATTCTGATTTAATGGTCAGTAGAACCACATTACATATCTTTTATGTTGGTATTTTTTCCTGTTCTCTGGGCCCTCTCTATTCAAGCATCCTGTGTTAGTACATCCCTGCTGACTCTCAAGATATCTTCTACTACTCATCCCTCATTTCTGATCTTGGACATTTTTCTGACCATTACTCATTACTTTCCAGTTGTCCACTCCTCATCCTGATCACGGTCTTCTGCTTTGGATTCTCATCACATTCTATGCTTAGCATTCTGTACTTTGCTTTAAAGGAGAAATAGTCAAGAATCCTCACTATGTTTAAGAGTAAATATGCTGTAGAGAGATAATATAGAGCTGCTTTTTTCCTAGGAGAAAGTATTTGTTAATTATCAAGAGGAATCTGAGAAGTGGAAGTGCACTTTTGGCAGCTTCATAACTGTGGGATAATAAGAGCTGGAGGCCAAGGCCTGCCAAAGGTGGCTATCCTGATGAAACACCGCCTCCTTCAGCTTGGTCCCAAGCTGCTAAAACAGTCAAATGTTTGACAGGAAAAAGGTGGTTACCCAGACCTTAAATTATTTCTTTCACCTTTAGCAGATAATTTAGGCAAACATCTTCATGTCCTTGAGTTAAGGAAATGTTTTAACCAAGCCACATAATGCTCTAACATAAATTTGAGTCCTTTAAAAATAGCAATTCTGTTTATCAGAAGAGGAACAAGCAGTTTTATGACTATGGTAAAAAGGCAAGCCATAGAGTAGATGTTTGCAACATGAATAATTAACAGGGATCAAATTTAGAACATATGAATAACTCACTAAGGTAAAAAAAAATAATAAAGTGGGCAAAAAAATTGACATAGGCACTTCCCAAATGAAGAAATCCAAACATAAATATAAAATTTTATTAAATGAAAAGTACAATCACATTGGAATAATATTCTCAATTGACTGACTTTGTAGAAATACCTGGCAGTACCAGTTATTGGTGATATATTCACTAATGATGGAGTATAAATGAGTTAGAACCATTTATTAAAATTGAAGAGGTGTATATTGTAAGACTATGATTACTGCATATATAGCCCAGAAAAACTCACCTCTATGTTTACCACAGTAATCTTAATCATTATGAGTTTGAAAAAATTCATCACTTCATCAGTAGAGCATATAAATAAATTGTGACTAATTTATATATCAGAATACTATATATAATGAGGGAAATGAACAGATCTCCAGCGACATACAAAAACATTAAAAATAAAATTACAATGTAGGATGATAGACATATCCTAGCCTAGTGTGAATGGCACCAAACAGGAATTCAGGAACAACTTTGCTGCCTCTCTTTCATCTGTGTCCAGTCTATCTCCAGGTAGATACTGCCTCCTTAGATAACTTTAAATATTTTTTCATTTTTATATATTTATTTGTTTTTGTATGTATGGTGCAAAGTATTGAGCCCACAGCCTAACAAATGCTAGGCAGGTGGGTCCTCTACCATTGCTACACCTCCAGCCCTATTTGTATTTTTTTTTAATTGTGATAAAATATAACATAAATTTTGCCATTTTAACCATTCTTAAGTATATGGTTCTGTGGCATTAAGTATGTTCATGTTGTGTAGCTGTCACAACCATCCATTTCTGGAACTTTTTCATCTTCTTCCACTAAAACTCTGTACTTATTAAAAAGTAATTTCCCATTACATTGTCACCCTGATTCTGAACAACTATGATTTTACTTTCTGTCTCTGTGAATTTAACTACTCTAAGTACATCATAACTAGTCATACAACATTTCTTCTTATGTGATTGGCTCATTTTATTTAGCATAATATCTTTGAGGTTAATCCATATTATAGCACATTGTGGATTTTCATTACTTTTAAAGACTGAATAATAATTCCTTTGTATGCATATACTATATTCATCCATTTATCCATCAAGGATGATAAAAGCTTGTTTCATCTGCCTTTTATCTATTGTGAATAATGCTGCTATGAACACATGTATATGAATATCTGAGTCCCTGTTTTTCATTTCTTTTGAGTATGTGCTCATAAGTAGAATTATTGGATAATTCTGTGTGTGTGTGTGTGTGGTGTTTTTTTTTTTTTTGAGGAACTGCCTCAAAAACATGGCAGCTGCTGTTTTCCTTTTTTTCTTTTTGTAGTGGGAGTTGAATCTAGGGTTACTCTACCACTGAGCCATATCCCCAGTCTTTCTTTCCTATTTACTTTTTTTTTTTTTTTTGTGGTGCTGGGGATCAAACCCAGGGGCTTGAACATGCTAAGCAAATGTTCTACCGCTGAGCTATATCCCCATTCCCTATATTTTTACTTTGTGAACGGGTTTCCCTAAGTTCTCTAGGCTGGCCTCAAACTTGCTAACCTCCTGCCTCAGCCTCCTGATTGCTGGGATTACAAGCATCTGCCATGTGCCCTACTTTTTTTTTTTAATTAATAGTAGCTTTTCTAATTGGTGTGAGTTGGTATCTATCTCATTGTGGTTTTGATTCGTATTTGCCTAGCAATTAGAAATATTGAACATCTTTTCATGTATTTATTGACCATTTGCCTTCTTTGGTGAAATGTCTACTCAAGTCTTTTGCCATTTTAAAATTGGATTTTTAAAAATTGTTGAAGTGTGGAGTTCTTTATTCTGGATATCAATCCCTTATGAAATTTTTGGTTTACAAATATTTTCTCCCAATTCTTGGGTTATGTTTTGCACTCTGTTGAGAGCGATATTTTAAGAAAATTTGATGAAATAAATTTTGGTGAAGTCCAATTTATCTGGTTTTTCTGTTTCCCAGGATTTGGTGTCATATTCAACAAGTTGTTGTCAAATCCAATATTATAAAGTATTTCCCCTGTGTTTTTTAAATAGTTTTTGGGCTTACAGTTATTTTTTTTATACTATATAGAATTTAGCATAGTGTATTCTAATTACCTATTCTACCTTCTATAATGAGAAGTTGCATAAAGGTAGGGAACATGTCTCCCTTGACCTTTACTTTTGATCCTGTCATTTAGTAGGCACCAAATTCCATTTTGTACTTTATTGAAATTGTTAACAGAGGAGTTAAAATGGTTTATTTCAAATTTTAGTTACTCTTTTCTTTAGTTGGCAATTTAAATTGAGGCAAGTAGGGTATTTGCTGCTTGATTTCTCTTCTTTATAGTTGGAGTAACAGTGGACATTTTAGTAAAGTGGATGCTCTCATTTACATGCCTTAGTTGACTGCTTTAACTCAAGTCTTCAGGGTTGGTAAGTCTTAGGGATAAGAGAAGTGTATAAAAGGAAAATCTGAAGATTTTGAATCATTAAATTCTGGATTTAGAATTCTGGATATTTTAAAGCTACTAGGTTTTGAGTAAGTTTTAAAAAAATCAGAAGTCTCATAATTGAACCTGAAGATATAGTGTACATAACCTGATTAGTTAGTCTTTTATATTTAAGAATTTTAAGGTATAGGCTTGTTCTATTAGTAAAAATACCCATAGTTAATCAGGTGCTTAGTATTTTACAGGGAATTTTTAATTTACTCCTTAACAACAACCATTTTAAGTTGGTGCTATTATTTACCACTTTTTACAGATGAAGAAACTGTAGAACAAAAATAAAAAAAAATTCAGCTAGCAAGTGGCAGAACTGAATGCCTTGAAGTGTTTTTTTTTTTCTTCTTGAATGTACTTTAAATTTTTTTTATTGTTACAAATGGATTAACATTTAAAATACCTAGATATTCACCAGTTTAGGAGACTTAAGAATTAAGATAAATTTTTTAAAAACTTGTTTTGTATAGATGTGCTGTTTTACATAGAGACAAGTCAATAATCACTTCAAGATGAATGAATTAACAGATTTCTAAATCTGGAATTTTAAAGTTTACAGTGCTAGAATTAATCTTTCTCACACTAGGTTTGTCTATAATTTATTCTATTTTCAAGTATAGACCCATTTTACATACCACAGGGTGTTCTGAAATAGCAAGAAGGGAATTGGATAAGGTGTTTACTAAAGTATATAAAACTCTTCACTATATTAGATATTGTTCTTTGGTTGAATCAGAAATTATCATTGGCTAACTTAACAAAGCAGGAATTTTTTGAATATGCTGGGAGTGAGTACACAGAAAGAATCAACCAACAACTAAGCCTCAGGATGAACAAGAACCCAGTTGTGCTAGTGAACAAGATTCTTCTGTTAACATGACTTGACTCCAGTGACCCCCATTTTTCTTGTTTTTCCATTCAAGCTTCAGGCAAGAGCTATGATTGATCAAGCTTGGATTAAGGTGTCTAAACCTGGCTCAAATCAGCTATGCCCTGGTGTCAACATCACAGAACACAGTTACATGACCAGAACTACTATAAAAGGAGGAATATTGGTGAGACAGGCAGTCCTCCTCATCAGTGACTTTGGTTTCAATATTTTGGAATAAAATCTTTGTGGAGAAAATCCTGAGGCTTGGATAAACTTCAGTTTACCAATGATATACATCTATTAAGAAGTCAAGATGGGATATTAAATTAGAATTACTAACTCTAATTTATTTGGAACCATCTTCTTGTGAGCTTTTTGAACTTGTAGGAGTTTTTGAGCTGAAAGAGCCAGATGGTAGAAAAGGAAACGAAAAGAGAGGAAGGAAAGATGGATCCCATCCTAGTATGTAGAATGGATTTGAACAAGGAGCAGATTAAGATGATACTTTGTGAGAGTGGAGAGGAATGGAATGAAGGACCTGTTAAGTTATACCTTAATTTAGCCACAAAGTTCAGCAAATTGGTCTCTCTATATACGTCTTATGTATAGGATGGTGACTAATAACATATTAGTTTCCTATTGGTTTATAATTATTACTGACTTTATAATTCTGTGCTGTTGTATTCTATTTCAGACTTTGGGGTTAGTGCTTTTCTAGCAACAGGTGGTGATATTACCCGAAATAAAGTAAGGAAGACCTTTGTTGGCACCCCTTGCTGGATGGCACCTGAAGTTATGGAACAGGTACTATGATTTTTGTCTTTTAAAAAAATGGCTTAGGTTTTTGTGATGAAACTGAGTAAACTAAATGTTTGCTTTTGTTTAGTACATATACCAGGTTAGCTTTAAGAAATGTATATTTCTCCTCCTTGGTTAAAACTTAGTCTACTCTTTTTTGTGTGTGTATGGTGCAGGGGATTGAACCCAGGGCCTCATGTGTGCTAGGCAAGCACTGTACCACTGAGTTACATCCCCATCCCCTTTTATTTTTATTTTGAGACAGGGTCTCACTGAGTTTTCCAGATTGGCCTTGAACTTATGATTCTCTTGCCTCAGCCTCCTGAGTACATGATATGATAGGTGTGCACCATAGCTGTAAAATCCCCCAAAAGAATCTAAACAAAAAAGCCAAAGCATAACTCAGAACATAATATAATAACAATTTAAAAAAATTTTTTCTTAATACAAAATAAATTATCTAGTAGTTTTACATGTTTTTTTAAAAAATTTATTTTTAGTTGTTGATAGACCTTTATTTTATTTATTCATATGTGGTGCTGAAAATCGAACCCAGTGCCTCACACTTGCAAGGCAAGTGTGCTACCGCTGAGCTCCAGCCCCAGCCCTTACATGTGGTTTTGTTGGTGTTTCTTGAAGGTCTAAGTGATCTCCACATCCCATTTCTTATTTGCATTTCACATATCTACAACCTGTTGTCACTTATCCCATCACTTAAAGAAAACTCTGCTGATTCTCAAATCTAGTGCTTATTTCTTATTTATTTTTCTCTTTGGTGGCATTTGAAATTGGTAGTATTCCAACTTTCAATACCAACCTCAGCACCTTAGCAAGGCACTAAGCAACTCAGCGAAACCCTGTCTCTAAATATAATAAATGCAAAAATAAATACAAAAAAATACATACAAAAAATAATACAAAAAAGGGCTGGGGATGGGGCTCAGTGGCTGAGTGCCCTTGAGTTCAATCCCCAGTACCCCCCCCCCCAAAAAAAAAAAAGAGAGAGATGATGTATCTCTTGTTACCGTGTCAAACTTTTGACAATTCATATTATTTTTTCTCTTCATAAATGTTTTATCACAAATGGTTTTTCTGTCTTCATGTAGAATTAATAAGCATTGCTTTTAATTGATTATGTAATATTCTTATAAGTTACTATACCATAGTTAACAATTTCTCTTTTTATGAACATTCAGGTTGCCTCTTTCCCCATTACCAAGTATATTTAGTTTTTGTTTACTTTAGATTATTTTATTCTTTAATGCTTATGAATGCTTTTCATTGTTCTTGACGATAATATAGTAGAAATTACCTTTTTTAAAAAAATTATTTATTTTTTAGTTATAGTTGGACACAATATCTTTATTTATTTTTATGTGGCACTGAGGATGAACCCAGGGCTTCGTGTGTGCTAGGAGAGCACTCTACCGCTGAGCCACAATCCCAGCCCCAAGAAAAAAATTTTTAAAAAGTGCTTTTAAATTGGTTGAAATAATCATGCACATCTTTCTGTTCTTTACAGGTCCGAGGTTATGATTTCAAAGCTGATATCTGGAGTTTTGGAATCACAGCAATTGAACTGGCTACAGGGGCAGCTCCTTACCATAAGTATCCACCAATGAAGGTAAAGCTCAAATTCAAAATACTATACCCAAGTTCAAGTCCCAGTTTCTTTTCAGAGCTTTTCTTCATTTGCTGGTCTTACCCTGGTTTTCCAATTTTTTTTTTTTTTTATTGTGGCAAAATATCTGTAACATTTACCATAAAATTTTCATCTTAACCATTTGTGAGTATACAGTTAAGTGATGTTAAATATATTCATAATGTGAAATATCTTACTGTCAATATCTAAGTGTTTTCTTAAAATTTTTTTTTTGGTGATACTAGGGGTTTTAGTTATTACATTTAGGTCTTTCCATTTTGAGTTGATTTTTTTTTTTTTTTTTTGCTCAGGGGAAGTCTGGGAATTGAATTTTTTTTTTTTTTAAATATGGTGAGAGGGTTCTGGTTTTATTCTGCATATGAATGTCCAGTTTTCCCAGCACCTGTATTTTGAAGAAGATGTCCTTTTCCTAATGTGTACTTTTTGCATCTTTGTTGAAAATAAGTTGTAGATGGGTGGGTTTATTTCAGAGTTATCTGTTTTGTTCGATTGGTCTGTATGTGTGTTTTTATGCCAGTACCATCTGTTATGGTTACTATAGCTTTGTGGTGTGTTATGAAGTCAGGTATCATGATACCTCTAACTTTATTGAAGTTGCTTTGGCCATTCAGGGTCTTTTTTGGTTCTATATGAATTTTAGGATTTTTTTTTTCTGTGAAGAATGCCTTTGTTATTTTTTTTATTATTAGTTGTTCAAAACATTACAAAGCTCTTGACATATCATATTTCATACATTTGATTCAAGTGGGTTATGAACTCCCATTTTTACCCCGTATACAGATTGCAGAATCACATGGGTTACACATCCACGTTTTTATATACTGCCATACTAGTGTCTGTTGTATTCTGCTGCCCTTCCTATCCTCTACTATCCCCCATCCCCTCCCATCTTCTCTCTCTACCCCATCTACTGTAATTCATTTCTCTTTCTTGTTTTTTTTCCCTTTCCCCTCACTTCCTCTTATATGTAATTTTGTATAACAATGAGGGTCTCCTTCCATTTCCATGCAGTTTCCCTTCTCTCTCCCTTTCCCTCCCACCTCTCGTCCCTGTTTAATGGTATTCCTCCCTGCTCTGTTCTTAATTGCCCTCCTTATATCAAAGAAGACATTTGGCATTTGATTTTTAGGGATTGGCTAGCTTCACTTAGCATAATCTGCTCTAATGCCATCCATTTCCCTGCAAATGCCATGATTTTGTCATTTTTTAGTTCTGAGTAATACTCCATTGTGTATAAATGCCACATTTTTTTTTTTTTATCCATTCATCTATTGAAGGGCATCTGGGTTGGTTCCACAGTCTAATTATTGTGAATTGTGCTGCTGTGAACATCAATGTTGCTGTATCCCTATAGTACGCTCTTTTAAGGTCTTTGGGGAATAGTTGCCTTTGTTATTTTGGTTGGGATTACATTGAATCTGTAAATTGTTTCATGTGGAATTTATGTGTTAACAGTATTAATTTTTCCAATCCATGATCATGGGATGTTTATCCATTTTTTGCATATTGTCTTTGATTTTCTACATCAGTGTTTTATAATTTTAATTGGAGAGGTAATTCATTTCCTTGGTTAAATTATTCTTAGGTATTTTTGTAACTAGTAAGAATTGGCTTCCTTCCTTCCTTCCTTCCTTCCTTCCTTCCTTCCTTCCTTCCTTCCTTCCTTCCTTCCCTCCCTCCCTCCCTCCTTCCTTCCTTCCTTTCCTCCCTCCCTCCTTCCTTCCCTCCTTCCTTCCTCCCTCCCTCCCTCCCTTTCTCCCTTCCTCCCTTCCTCCCTTCCTCTGAATATTGAACCCAGAGGCCTTATATCACTGAGGTATACCCCTAGCCCTTTTAAAAAAATTTTATTTTGAGACAGGGTCTCACTTAGTTGCTGAGGCTGGCCTTGAACTTGTGATTCTCCTGCCTCAGTTTCCCATTTTACAGGGATAATAGGCATGCACCATTGCACCCAACTCTTGTTTTCTTTTGCAGCAGGTTTTTATTGGTGTATAGAAATGATACTGTCCTGGTTTCAATCCCCAGTACTGCAAAAACCCAACAATAATAGCACCTGCTATGATTTTTGTATCCTCTGGGCTTATTGAATTTAGTAATTCTAACAGTATTTTTTTTTGGTGAGGTCTTCACATTTTTCCATATATAAGATCATGTCATTTACAGACAGTGTGCTACTATAGTTCAGATGTTGAATATTATCCAAAAGTATGTGTGCTAAAAGTCTTGGTTCCCAGATTGGTGCTAAGATTGGCCCTCACAGACAGCCTTAGGTTACTGTGCTCTCAAAAGGGATGGTGGGACCCTGATCTCTTCCTCTTCGTTTGCTTCCTGGCTCATGAGTTGATTGATTTGCTCTGCCATATGCTCCCATTATAATGTGCCATCCTTTCCAGAGACCATAAAGCAAATGAATTGCCTAATCTTTGGTGGGTATCTCTAGAACTGTGAGCCAAAATAGCCTTTTCTCTCTAAGTTAACTAATTTAGGTATTTTTTTAGAGTAATTTGAAGCTGATGAACACACAGGGATAATTTCTCCTTCCTATTTTGATGTCCTTTCTTTCTCTTGCCTAATTGCTCTGGTCAAGATTTCCAATATTATGTTGAAAAAGAGTGGTAAAAGTGGACATCTCTGTCTTCTTTCTGATTTCAGAGGAAATAATTAATCATTTCCATATTCAGTATGATGTTATTATGTTGAGGTATGTTCTTTATGTACCTTGCTGAGTTTTTATCTGGAAGGGATGTTATATTTTATTGAATGATTTTCCTACACCTATTCAGATGATGGTTTTTGTTCTTCATTCAGTAATGTGATATGTTGTTTAATGGTTTGTTGAATTACCCTTGCATCCTTGAGAGGAATACCACTTGATCATGGTGCACAATCTTTTTGATGTGCTATTGGATTTGGTTTGCTAGTATTTTACTGAAAAATTTTCTACCTATGTTCTCTAGGGGTATTTCTCTACAGTTCTCTTTTGTTGTTGTATACTGTCTGGTTTTGATATCAGGGTAATAATACTTACTTGCCATGTAGAATGAGTTTGAAAGGGTTTCCTCCCTTTCAGGTTTTTAGAATACTTTGAGAAGAGTTGGAGTTAGTTCTTCTGTAAAAGTTGGTAATATTCAGCCATAAAGTCATTGAGTTCTGTGTTTTTCTTTGTTGGGAAACAGTACTGTTGAGTATTGTTGCTTGTTATTGATCTGTGCTATCTTTTCTAGGTCCTCATGGTTCAATTCTGGTAGGGTAAATGTTTCTAGAAATTTATTTCTTTCAGGTTTTCCAATTTTTGGTGTATAGTTTGTCATAATAGTCCCTAATGATCTTTCATGGTATCAGTAATGTGTCCTCTTTCATTTTCAGTTTTATTTACTTGGATCTTTTCCTTTTTTCTTCATTAGCCTAAATAAAGGTTGATTGATTTTTGTTTACCTTTCCAAAAAATCAACTCTGTTGTTCTTTTGTATCATTTTTTTTAGCCTCCCTTTTATTTATTTCTGGTCTGGTCTTTATTATTTCCTTCTACTAATTTTGGGTTTGACTTATTTTTTTTTTTTTCTGGTTTCCTGAGTTGCATCAGTAGGATGTTTATGGTTTTTTTTTTAATATATTTTTTAGTTATAGGTGGACACAATACCTTTATTTTATTTATTTATTTTTATGTGTTGCTGAGGATCGAACCCAGTGTCTCACTCATGCTAGGTGAGTGCTCTACCACTGAGCCATAACCCTAGCCCCTGCCCTTTTTAGGATGTAGCTACTTTTTGCTATAAATTTTTCTCTTTAGTATTGCTGTTGCTATATTCCATAGGTTTTGATATGTTGTGTTTCCATTTTCATTTGTTTCAAGAAATTTTGTTAATTTCTCTCTTGATTTCTTTTGACCCATTGATTATTCCAGAGCATATTGTTTAATACCCATTATCTATATAATTTCTAAAGTTCCTCTTGTTGGTTTCTAGTCTTATTCCATTTTGTTCAGAGAAGATATGTGATATGATTTCAGGTTTTGAATTTGCTGAGAATCGTTTTGTAGATTAACATGGTTTAATCTGAAGAATATTCCAGTGTGCTGATGAGAAGAAAGTATATTCTCTAGCTATTGAATGAAATGTTATCTGTTAGGTTCATTTAGTCTAATGTAACTTCCATGTTTCTTTGGTGATTTTTTTTCATTAATGAAAGTAGGTTTTGAATATCTTAATTATTTTTGTATTGTAATCTCTTGCTTTACATCAAATAGTATTAGCTTTCTATAATTTATTGCTTCAGCATTGGGTGCCTATATATTTACAATTATTATAATATCCTATTGTTGAAAATAGGATATCATAATATAGTAACCATCTTTGTCCCTTTTTGCAATTTTTGACTTAAAGTCTGTTTTATCTGTATAGCTGCTCATGTTTGCTTTTGGTTTTGTTTTTGTGGAATGTTTTTTCCTATCTCTTCACTTTTGGTCTGTTTCTTTACTGGAGAGGTGGGTTTATTGTAGGCAGTGTATGATTGGGATTTGTTTTCTAAAATTCATCATCCCAAATCTCTTAACTCTGGGGGATTTAATCTATTTACATTCAAGATTATTATTGAAAGGTAAAGGCTTATTCCTGTCATTTAATAAATTTTTTCTGTTGTATAGTACATCCTTTGTTCCTTTCTTTTCTTCTGTTGTTTACCTTTGTAGTGAGGTGGTGATACAGTTTGATACTTTCCTCTTTCGAGTATCTGTTCTTCTAGAGGTCATGCTTTCATAATGGCAGTTGGTCTTTTCAAAAACCAACTTTGATTTCATTGATTTTTCTCTCCTGTTTTTCTGTTCTCTGGTTTCTTCATCTCAGCTGTAACCTTTTGTAATTTCCTTCCTTTGGCCAGCTTTGTGTTTAGTTTTTTCTAGTTCCTTCAGTTGCAAACTTAGGTTGTTGATTTAACATCTTTCTTGTGCTTCTTAAATTTTATTT